CAAGCTGGGGTGCCCAGGCATCTGGTGTCTAACCAGGATACTGGGAGACGAAAGAAGACACACAGACAGTGGTGCTGGGCCAGCAGCTGGGGACAGGGGCTGCTCCAAACTCCATAGGACTTGTGGTCTACAGTCAAGGGAGTACACACTGCCCCCACCACTTGAAATGCCAGCGGAACTGAGAGCAGTTACCTGCCATTCTTCTCAATTTATCATGATTACCATAAAAAAAGGGAAAGGGAATGTCAGGAGCCACAGCACATTATAATCACAGGTACTTGGGAGGCTACGACAGGAGGACTGCATGTTTGAGGTCAGCTTGAGCAACTTAGTGAGACACTGTCTGAAAAAAAGTGTGTGTGGAGGTGTGGCTCAGTGGTAGAGTGCTTGCCTAACATGTGTGAAGCTCTGGGTTCAATCCCAGTACTGCAGAAACAAAACAAAACCCCTTGACACAAAAATACAAGTTAGAGAAAATAAATAAAAGGTAAAGGCTGATATGTTTGAGTTTGTGTAGTTGGAAGTTAAGACTTAAAAAAGTACAGGGAGGAGTGAGTCCCAGTTTCTCTAAAAAGACTCCAAACGCATATTCCCAGAGAATGGAGAATCATTTAGTCTTCTAGAAGAAGGAGCCTGAGGTTTAGATAAACTGGGCTCCAATCCAGCTGGCCCACCCCCGAGCAATGTGCCCTCTGGGCAAGCGAGGGGTGTCTTACTCTTCTCATCTACCCCAAATTAGAGCCTTGTTACCATGATCCACCAAGATGACATTACTACCTTGGGAACGGAGAAGTCCAGGACCCCCACAGACTGCTGGCACGAGCACATGCCAGAGCCCTTCGTGACTGAGTCAGATGATGACATCCGTGCCCATGGCTTTATCCACCCACGTCACTTGTAGAACAGACTCTGAAGTTTCAAACTAAATGTGATGGGTATTTTTGTGGTAATCTCCTTTTGCCTTAAAATTCAGTTGCCATAGTTACCAATCATCTTGCTGGCACAAAGAGCACAATCCTATTTTAAAAATCAGCTTTGTTTTTATAAACTTATTTATATATATCAGGGTAATGTGTGATTATGAACACCTAAAAAACCTATACATTGCCTACGATCTGGAAAACACAGAAGGCTGAAGTCACATCATCCAGAGACCCTCAGCAACATGGATGCGTTTTCTTTTTTAAGTAGGAAAAACTACATATTCATATTTTTAAACTGAAAATATGACTTTGACATGTATACTGTTCAGGAACTCGCCTTTTTAAACCTCATCACCTGTCTTAGACACCTCTCTGTGTTCATGTGGTCTCTCTCATTCTCTCTAACGCAGGCTCGTTTTCTAAGCAAACCAGTAGAAAGGCGAGCGCCCCAGCAGGGAGGGTGCAGACTGCTCAGGAGCCGTGTGGCTGCTTCTACGGAGGTGACCATCCTAACCACCACCTACCAGACTCCCAGGCCTGGGGACACGAGGAAGCAGGGTCAGAAATGACTTTGCAACAAACTGAGTGCTACTGTTACTGTGAGAGGTCAGCCACTGTGTCTACTTCCTCTGGTTCTGTGCCAGAGGACACACTGCCATCAGTGCAGTCAGAACTACACTCTTCCTGCATGTACCACAGGTGAGTTAGCTGGCTAAGGAAGCACCCCAGGGCAGACTGCTCCCAACAGCATGTCTACCTGCCCCAGCCCGCTGAGGACCTGAGGAGCACAGCACTCCTTCTCAGGACTGGCAAGACACCACCTGAGCAGGACACATGTGCCACACAGCTGTCATCCACACAGACACACTTGCCGTCACGGTAAGCTTAGGGTTCTTGGCTGCACCCAGTACCTTCTGGGTCCTCCTCGCCACGCTCTGCTCGGTCCTTCAGGCTCTGCTCGCTGAGGTCTGCCACAAGGCCGCTGCTGCGCTTCTTTCCTTCCTCATCACCGGATTCTTCGGATTCCACCCGCCTGTCAACTGAACCCATGTGTATCAGTGAGAATTCAGTCCACTCTGCATGCCCATGAGGAATGTTAACAGGCTAACACTCAGCTGTCAGTCAGCAAGACCTCACTCAGAAATAGTGACTGAGTTCTGTTGGTGACGATTTGTGTCTCAGCACCATCTGAGGCATGCAGTGGCAGGGAGAACTGGAGGCAGAGCGAGAAGGTCACCTGGACACTTGGGCAAATAATATAATACTCTTTCCCTCAGGGTCTTGTGAAGAGTTGCCATGTGTTCAGAAAGCCCCAGACCCCTCTGTGTTCACAGGTGTTAACAGGCACATGGTGAAGTGCATCCTGGGCAGCTCTCACTTGGGCCTAGATACAAACCACAGGGGATCATTGTGACCCTCTGGCCACACATCTCATCGATATTCCACTATCCATTTGGTCAAGAAAATCAGTGCACAGAACCATATCCTGAAAGATATCAAGACTAACTCAAACCAGACTGTGGGCAGGGAGGAGCTTTAATGAAAAATAAGAATGCACCCATACCACTACACTCCAGCGAAGGTCACCGAAGTTAAGTGTCACTGGACAGAGAGTTACCAACTTAAGGGTTTTAAAGGCTGGTAAAAAAAATATTTTTTGAGTTAATGAAAAAGGCAATGACTAAATGTGGCAGGCTAGTAAAAATTCTCTGGCAAGGTTGTTAGATAATTATTCCTTTTCATAACATTTTCCATGACTTCTCTTGGAAGCGTGTCTGGAAGGTCTGAGACACCAACAAATTACATGGAATTATCAATCACACGGAAAGTGTTCTGATTATGGCTTACTCTATAGAGGGGTGTGTTCTCTGAGGTGAAGTTCCATTTCATCTTTGCTCAGCTCTGCAGGAAATACAAACTATACCCAGGAAAGGACTAGTGGATAAAACAAGCCCTTCTAAAAATTACTTCCATTCCTTTATCTCTGACCTGGCAGCTGCCTTGGCTCAACCAAGGTTCACTCTGCCTCCAGTTCTCCCGGGGCCTGGGATCCTGCCCTGCCTCCCTAATTAGTCTCTCTATGGCTTGTCTTGCTCAGTTTAATCTATTCTCCATTGTGTGGGAATCTGATCCGTGATTCCAAAAATTTCTGGAATATCAATGGCTCTCCCTGAGTTTGCAAAGCTTGCTCCTAGAGACATAACTTTGGCAAACCATTTTCTTTTCCAAGTCTCAGTATCCTCATCTGCAGGGGGAGCTAGCAGAGTACCCATACATCAGTGCTGCTATCAATATTAAATTAGAAAAGTCACAAGAGCAGTTACATATGTATGACATGCAGGAGAATTTAACAAATAAGTGACTGCTAGCCACTCTGTGGTCCAGGGTCAGGGAGAGCAGGTTCTGCACACCTCCCAGGAGAGAGGAGGGGCAGCCAGTGTGCAACCTGTGACTATCCTGAGGGCAACAGAGAGTGTGAAGTGTGGGACAGAGGGTCAGCAAAGAGAGTGACTGTGCAGCTCTGGCTGGTACAATGGGCTGGCAATACAATTGCCCTGAGAAAATGAAGGTCTCAGTTAAGGCATTGGCAGTAAGAACAGAGGAGATGTTGAGGATTTGGAACTACTAAAGCAGTAGAAGTGTCAGGGCTTGTAATGACACATGTGGGAGTAGAACAGTGAAAAATCTGACTTTTGTATTTGCCCTTTACCAAGAAATGGAAACAGCTGAAGTGGGAGAAGGAGTGGCTGGGGGAGTGGGGAGAAGAGGGATACAGAAAAGGCATCCCTTGCTTAAAAAGATTCAAGGATATCCAAAGTCCAGGAACTTTGGTGTGATCTTCCCTGGCCAGCCTCATTGGTCACCCCCACCTACATCATGTATGGTGGTCATCCTGGCTCAAACTCTTCTCCACCCCACTTTTTATTTGACAGGGATTCCTCTGGCTGGAATAATATTTGATTCCTCCCACCCCAACTCTTCCTACTCCAGTCTAAGGATTCTTTAAGGTCCAGCTCAAAGCAGCCTTCACCGCTCCCAAACACGCCAGTCCTTCCTTCTGCACCCTCCCTCCTATCTCTGTGACCCACTTCCCTAGCACTTTTCACATGAGGCAGTGACTGCTTTTCTGGAGATCTGGAGAATCAAGAGCATTGAAACACTCCAAGAAACGATTGGTTCTCTGACTGGGAACAAGTGTGCGGGTGCACAATTCTACGCATGTAAGAATAAAGCATACATGTAACCGAGTACAAATACATGCGTCTGTATAAAGTGCAGACACACGTAACTGTAAAATACAATTCCAACAAAGTGGTAAAGGAGAAAGAAAGTTGAATTTAGTCTTTTCGAGACTACGATCATCTGGGAAACAGGCATTGCCTTGTACAGCTCAGTCTCCGGAGCTCCTCGTCATCCCTGCACCACCCGTGCACTTCCTAGAGAGGACCCCGGTCCGCCCAGCCACGAGAACAAACCGCGCACTCCCGGCAGGTCCCCGCGCCCGAGCCGCCGGAGGACCGCGTCCGGCCTGTCAATCTCGGAGGTTCGGGGCCGGGTTCCCACCGCCGCCGGTCCGGGCTCGCGCAGCTCGCTCCTCTCGGCTCAGGTCCTCGGGCCGCTGCCGCCCTCGGGCCAGGGCTCCCCGGGTCTGAAGGTCCCCTCGGTGTCTAGCCTGGCAGGCAGCTGTCAGGGCTCCGCGGCGGTGCCCTGGACGTCGAGCTCCTCTTGAGTGAGGGGCCGTGCCAACTCGCCGTCATCCCCCCGGACCCCTGCCGCCCGCCGCCCGCAGGAGCCGCTCACCCTCCATCATCTCCTGCGACTGTTGCTGCCCGGCGCCTCGCTCTGCCGCCATATTGGCTGCTCTCCCCCTTTCCGGAATCTGTCGCCTCAGAGCCCTCAGCCAATCAGAGCTCCCGGCTCCGCGTGGGCCAGCCAATCGGGTCCCGTCGCGGCGACTCCCCCGCGCCTGCGCGGGCGCAACGCCTCATGGGAGCCGTAGTTCCTCAGGAGGCCGGATCCCGCCTCCCGCAGGATTCTTGGGCTCGCAGGGCTCAGCTGCACGGAAGCTGGCGTGCCGGCGGGGCGTCAGGCTGCGCGCGGGCTGTTCCGCGCTCGTGGGTTCGTCCCGGTGCCCGCCCTGGAGGCGCAGAGGGCCTGCGGCCAGGCGATCTCTGGCCGCAGATGCGGCAGGCAGCACGTGATTTTCGGACTCGGGAGACTCGCACTGGTATCTGCACGTTGAGCTGAGGGGCCAGAGCGACCAAGGTTCCGGGAGTCCGCGTACGGATTCGCTCTTGCGAAAGGCTGCCTTCAGGGGACGATCAGCGCAGGGCGGGAAGGGCCGCGGGCTAGCACCAGCACGTTCGCCGGCCGCTGCTTACTTTGCCTTCGGTCTGCGACCCAGGTGTTGAGGACGAGGCCGCCGCGAGGCGAGCTGCTGGCCGCTCACCTTCCTCGATCCTACGGCTGGAGAAAATGCCGTCCACCGTGTCGCGGGTCAGAGGCGCCTTTCTCTTTTGGCTCCTCCGAGGTGCCGTAGGGGTTTTTCGGTGCGTCCCTGGCAACCGTTTGCGCGGGCGCCACCGTTCTGGCTCGCTGAGTTCCGCCCACAGGCAGCCGTGGTTGGCCCGTGGCATCTGTCAATCGATACGACTCGCTCTGGTATTGGCCAGTGGGCTGGAAGCGCGGTCGGCTCTCGGCTCTGTGAAGTGCATTTGGCGGTGTGATCCCCGCCGACCCAGGTGAGGCAAACGCCGTTGCTCCGGAGAGCTAGAGCCGGTTGCGGAGGACGGCCGGCGACCCCGCGCAGTCGGCCTAGGGGCCCCTACGGCCTGCGGCCTGTCCCTGTACGCAGATCGCGGCCCCGGCCGGCGGCGCGGCGGAGACTGGCCGTTTGCCCCGCGCCTCGGGCCGCCCGTGCCCGAGCGTCCCAGCAGGGTAACCCGCCCGGTCCGAGGAAGCCACCCAGGCTCTCGGTCTCCTGGCCTGGGGGTGGCTTTGCGCGTTTCGTTCACTCCTTCGTCGCCTGCGCTACTGCGAGGCTGAGGGAGTGCGCGTCCTGCGCCAAGCTGCACCCCAGCGCCGCCGTCTTGCAACTCTGTGCGAGGAGCGAGCTCTGCGCCCGACCTCAGCACTTGAATGCCTCCTTCACCTTAGGCTTCGCCCCCAGTCCTGGCTTCCCTGCTTTTCCTTTTCTCAGAGCGTAGGAGTTGCCTGAGAACTTGGGGTACTTGCACATGTATCTCCTTGCTCAGCAAATCCAGCCAGTTCCATGTCTGTTCTTCTCTTTTGGGTTCCTTTCTCCACGTTTCTCCTATGATCTTCATTTTAAGACCTCACAATTTCTGACTTGAATTGCTGTGACCTTTCTTCCTCCCAGCCTTGCCCCTATACTGCCCCTGGAATTATCTTTGTAAAATGCATAGCAGGTTGTTTTTCCTTAACTGTTGATCCCTTAAAGCTAATCTTTAGGATAAAAATCCAGGCTACTTAGTCAGGCCTAAGAAGCCCTGGGAGTTATTCAGGCTTCTCCAGGCTCCTCTCCCCGGTCCTTCTGCACATCGAACTCCTGTGCTTCTGTCTGGACGGCTTCACTCAGCTTGCAGGGCTCTGCTGCCTTGACACCCTCCCAAGCCTTTCCACCATTCTGGACTCCAGGGGCCCACCATCCAAGTGGCGGTCATTTTATGTGTTCATTAGACTGCCTTGATGCGACACACAGAGCTGTGTGCTCAGGGTGGTGTGACAGAGAGGAAGACAACGGGCTGTCAGGCCCAAAGTCTAGAGGAAGGCAGGTTTCAGGGTGGGTTGATTCAGTACTTCAGGCTTCCAGCCTGAAGTCCTCATGTTTGCTGGTCTGTTGTCTACTGGTTGGATCCCCTTGAAAAGCTGGTTCTGTTCTTGTACATGGTCAGTATGTACAGTTGTTCACGTGGGACAGAGGGTTGCTTCCAGAGGTTCACCCAGAAGAGCAAAGAGTGCATTTGCAGAGCTCTGTATTTGGGAGGTGGGGTACCTTGTGCCTTCTGGACTCATAACTAGCCAAGGGAGTATGGTCTGGGTTCATCTTCCTATTTCTACTGCTTAGAGAGGATTTTAAAAAGTAAATTTTAAAACCCTAGATCTGGGTTTCGAAGTGTTTCTGAATAACATCTGAGTTAAAATTAAACCTGTGAAAAATTAAGGGATCTCTGGTCATGTGAAGTTAGCCTGTGCTCTCAGAAGCCACCCCTCTGGCTGTGGAGCTGAGACATGTGAGGCTGGGACCTTCTGTTCCCATGTGCAGAGGTGCGTGCTCAGCAGCCATGTGGACTTGTGCAGTACAGGATACACGCAGGGAAAAAGTCCGTCTTCCCTGCAGCCAGTGCCTCACATCTGTCAGCCAGCATTGACTTTCCTCCCTAAATACTATTGTAACTGTTGGTAATAGAACTGAACATCCACCCCACTTCTTACTGCATCAACTCAGACAGTATTTTCCTTTTTCCCATGAAAAACAAAAGTTCCATGCTCTTACCCTCCTTTTGTATTTCTTTTCTGTATTCCTGTTTTATATTACTTTACAGAGTAAACTTTTGTAACATTTACAATGTGTTCTGAGGAGTTATATTACTTTTAGGATAAAGTTTTATAACAATTACAATGTAGTCAAAAAAATTTTTTAAAAAGACAAATTTAAGGTTTTGTAATGATGTATCTGAAATTATGTTACTTTTTAAAACAAAATTAAGATTTTATAACAGTGTATTCTGAAGTCATAATTAAGGTTCCAAGCTTTTTTTATAAGTTAGTTCTAAAAGTAAAAACTGCTGTATAATAGGATCTTGGCCTTGGGATTTATTGTAGCAATATTAGTGCATTTAGATGTGAGATGCAAATCTGTAACATTTAAATGGTGTTAGGTAAGGAAAGCAACACATTCTAATAATTACTTCTAGCTTCCCCTACATCTTTCAGTTTACACTGAACCATGGCTTTTCAGGATCCCAGGCTGGATTTTTGTGCGTGTAACACCTCTTGATTTTTCAGGGTATGTTAAGTGATTCATGCAAAAGAAAAAAGGCAGTAGATCATGAATCATGATAGTAAAGTGGACACGTTTAAACCCACCACCCAAGTCAGGACCTGAAGCCCCTTGCCATCGTGTCTTCCACATCTCAGCTCCCTGCCTGCTACAAGTGTGGGCACACCAGCCTCTTGTTGAATAAACAGTCTTATATGTGGGCACCCCTAAACAATGTGTTTAGATTATTTTATTTTACAAGAAAGGAATCCTACTGTTGATAGTCTTTTGAAACTCGTAGTTTTTCACTCCTTATATTTTCCACTCCTTATATTTAGGATTTATGTTGTGTGTAGGTGTTTTATAATTCATAACATGAATCTGCCAAAATTTTAAGTCTGTTGCTTGTTGATAAGTGTTTATTTCATTTTCTTCCTGCTTGTCTGCCTGTCTTTGCCATTGTAAACCTACTGCCCTAAGCATTCCTGTGTGTGTCTTGCTACTCATGTGCAAGTATTTCTCTAGAATATCAATCCAAGAATAGAAAGAGCTCTGTTGGAGTAAGCAAATGTTTGACTTTGTTTCCTATGCGGATTATATTTACTTAATGAGTTTCTATTGATTTGTTGATCTAAATCCTTAACGACCTTTGGTGTTATCGAATTTTTCATCTTTACTGATTTATTTGGTATAACATCATGATGAGACTGATAATGTTAAGACTCTGGTTGTAGGTTTCATGTTCTACAAGCTGTTGTTCTTATTTCTTGTTATTTTTCTTTGTCTATGCATATTTCAATTTTGGGGTGGGGGTGTCCTAGAGATTAAACCCAGGAGTACTCAATACATTGAGCTCCCTCCTCTGCCCTTTTTGAGACAGGGTCTTTCGTAGTTGCCCAGACTGGCCTCAAACAGGCCATCTTCCTACCTCAGCCTCCCGAGTCTCTGGAGTCACAGGCCTGCATCCCACGTGTGGCTGCATCTTTAAATTAAGTGTTAAATCATTTGTCTTTCGAAAGCTTCTGAATATTTTCTGTTATGCATTTGGCAAATGTCTTCTCCCAAATTGTACCTTGTTCTTTCTTTTCCTTCCTTTCAATTAAGTCTGGAGACTTGAGCATATGTTCTACCACTGAACTGTACCCCTAGGCCTCCCTGTGTTTCCCAGGCTGGTCTTGAGCTCACAGTCCTCCTGGCTGGTGTGTGCGTGCCACTGCACCCTGCCTCATTTTAGGTTTTCAGCGCATTTCTTATGAACGCATGTCCTCAATTTTATTTTATTTTATTTTTTAATTTAATTTAATTTAATTTAATTTTTTTAAAGAGAGAGTGAGAGAGGAGAGAGAGAGAGGAGAGAGAGAGAGAGAGAGAATTTTTAATATTTATTATTTTTTAGTTCTCGGCAGACACAGCATCTTTGTTGGTATGTGGTGCTGAGGATTGAACCCGGGCTGCACGCTTGCCAGGCGAGCGCGCTACCGCTTGAGCCACATCCCCAGCCCCATCTCAATTTTAATGTTAACTTTATCAATCAGACTTTATAGTAGAGCTTTGTTGCTTCTTGTTTAAGAGCTTCCCCTACTCCAAGTCTTACAGATGTTCTGTTCGTTTTCTTCCGAAAGCTTCGTGTTCTGACACTGGCTTTGTGTGTGGAGTGTCAATGGCTGTGTTTCGTGGTCCCCTTGGGATATGAATTATCTCAGCACCACTGCTTGAATAGCTGTCTGTCCTTCAGAGCCGGTGTCCCCCCCATCACCTGACAAGCGTCTGCATGCTTTGGCCCCTTTGGGGGACCTTCTTATTCCTGGCCCATTGCAGCACACGAGAACTCCAGTTTTCTATTGAACTTTCACATCCGGTAAACTGAGTGCCCCACTCCCTCACTCCCCTCTTGCTTGATTAACAGAAATCTTGGTTCAGTACATTTTCTTCTTCATGTGTAATTATCTCTTCCAGTATTTGCTTTTCTCCATTCTCTCTCCAGTCAGGTTTCCTTGGTTGGTTGTCTCAGTTCTTCTCCGTGATTCCAGGATGCTTGGCTCCTGAGAAGACGGCTTCTGCCAGAAGCTGGAGTGATGCTCAGCTCAGCGTTGGGCACTGTCTCCCGGGGTCCCTGGCTTCTCAGGCTTGGGATGGCCCCTCAGGATGGCTTGCTCTCCCTGCCCTGTTTCCAGGTCTTAGTGTTCTTTTATATTTGAAGTGCCTCCTTTCCCCTGCACCTCAGAGGTGCACAGAAGCCGCGCTCCTGTCGCAGAATGCAGTGTTGCCGAGTCGTGTGGCTCTTCATGCTCTCGCCCCTGATGCTTCTTGGGCTTGTTTGTACATGGGAAGTCAGAGGGATGCAATTCTACCTCAAACTGTTAACTCCATTTAAAATAAGCAGATCACAATTATTAGGCACCAACCTGCCAGTCCCAACTTAACTTTTTGAGTTTTCCCGAGGGTGCTACCAGGTGAGTCACCATTACCTGCATTTTACCCAAGGAAGCCATCCTTGGAACATTGTGCTGCTGAGTACCCCATCAATTCCTGAGAATGAAGATGGGCCCTCTGCTGTGTGCCAGACTCCTGTGCTCCGGTGGCCTGTCTCCTGGAATTGATGGTCCGGTCCTGTTTGCATGTTTAATTTTTTTTTTTTAAAGAGAGAGAATTTTAATATTTAGTTTTTAGTTTTTGGTGGACACAACATGTTTGTTTGTATATGGTGCTGAGGATCGAACCCGGGCCGCACGCATGCCAGGCGAGTGCGCTACCGCTTGAGCCTCATCCCCAGCCCTGCATGTTTAACTTGTATTGCTTGGTGGCATGTTTTGATGTCACCACCCTCCCACAACTGGTCTGGGTGGGGTTGTTCATTTTCCTTTTGTCTGAGTGGTACCAGTCTTGCTGATCTCAGGAGCTGACAGCTGAGGTGAGCAGCGGTCAGGCCCTTAGACTCAAGGGACCAGGGGTGTGAGTGCAGTGGAGACCCCCTGTTGTGATGAGTGTATATCATTACTATCAGACTCAAAACCTGTTAATTGCAGTAGGTGTGCCCCTCCAGTCTCGATAGATACATCTTTATCACGACCTGAAAGCTAGGTTAGAACTGGAGGACCAGGGCTCCTTGGACTTCCTTGGTGGAATGTGGGGGTTTCAGAAGGGTCAGTTCCCTTTTCCTCCTGCTGCGGGTCTGTCCTGTGTTGGGAGGGGCTTGTGAGCATGTGGGAACACCACACCTGCATGTCCAGGCTTTGTCTTGTGATGCTACTCCTCGGCCAATTCTTGGGTCTGGGTATGGCATGTGCAGAGCCATGTGGGCCTTGGAAGAGGGGTCCAGGACATTTGGTCAGGAATTTTGGGCTTCCAGACATGCAAAAGGTGATCTGTAAGGAGGAGTACAGGCTCTGGGTGTTCTTGGCCCTGTGGCCTTCCACTTTGTGGGAACTCCCACGAGTGGCCCTGGGACTGACCACAGTGCCTTTTCTGTCTACCTGTGGGTGCCCAAATGGGGCTGTGCCTCCTCCGAGCAGAGGAGCTTTTCTTAGTGGCACTGGAGCACTGGAGAAGGTGTGCTTGGGTTCCACTTGCTGGTCGGTTCAGGGTCTCCCTTGGGAGCTGGTCACATGACTGCACATGGCAAGACTGCACAGAATGGAAGGCGCAGGTGAGTGCAGTGAGTGCTGTGGCCATGTCCGTTTCCTGGTGTGGCATAATGTGTACAAAATGTGATACTGGGAGGAAGCTCAGTGACAGCCACATGGAATCTTTCTGTGTTTTCCCCCATGTCTGCATTGGAATCTACAAGTACAAAAGAACAAAACCACAAACCTCTGGTGCTAGTCCTGCCCCCAAGGGAAGCAGACTCTTGCCTGGCTTTTGGGGATGTGCCCAGGTGGTTCTAGATGCAGCTGGGCCAGAAGGTGGTACAGTGGCTCTTCTTGTGGCCACCCTGGGGATCTTCTTGACCGAGGAGCGTTTTCTGTTGGTGTGGACAGCAGCTCCTGCCCTTCCTTGTGGTCCCTTCCCTCTTGCTTCGTCCTGCTTTCCCAGCCTTCCTACAAGGGCTGCTTTTAGCGCAGCTCTGCACTGACAGCAGCCCTGACCTGGGACAGCGATGGGTGTGTGGGACCTGCTGAACTATGGCACAGTCTGCTAGTGGATTCTTGTGTGGCTGATGATAATCAGATGCTCTTGATTTTCTAGGTGAGAATTAGTAGAGGAGGGAGCTTAGTGCCTGTCCCACCTGCTACCATGGAAGCCAGAGGCTTGCTGGCCTTCGATGATGACCGGAGATGCCTGTCTGGGAGCCTACCTGTACCAGTGCCCACTGAGGGCCCAGCTGCAGAGGCTGCCTCTGGGTCCAGCAAGCCATTCTCCTCAGCCCACAGACACCTGAGCAGGAAGAACGGGCTTTCTAAGCTCTGCCAGAGCAGAATAGCGCTTTCTGGTAATGACTTCCTTTCTGATCATTAGGGGCATCAGCCCCGCAGCTTGGAAATGTGGAGTCACTGCTTTCCCCAGGAAGCCTGTTGCCAGTGACGTAAAGTGGTTCTGTGGGAAAGCTCACGTGCCGAGGCCTGGCCAAGCACTTTCCTGGTGCCTCTGGCCTTCCTGCTGGGAGCTTCAGGCACACAGTGGACATCTCCTCCATGTGAAAACTCTGTGTTTCAAGGTCAGATTAGAACAAAGTGTAGTTCTTACTAGGAGTGGACCAGGGTACTGTCTGAGACTGGGCCACATCCCAAGGAAAGTATTAGCTTGCTGATTAGCTCTGGAAGCCAGAGGCTTGCTGGCCTTCGATGATGACCAGAGATGCCTGTCTGGGAGCCTACCTGTGCCAGTGCCCGCTGAGGGCCCAGCTGCAGAGGCTGCCTCTGGGTCCAGCAAGCCATTCTCCTCAGCCCACAGACACCTGAGCAGGAAGAAGGGGCTTTCCACCTGGCCTAGAGCCCCAGAAGACAGGGTCTTGCCCTGGGGTTTCACATCACAGGGACAGGACAAGGGCAGCCACTTCAGTGTGTCCCCCCACCCCACAGCTAGCTTATTGATGGGCTGTGGCCGAGAAGGAAGTGCTGCCTGCCCGTAAGAGGCACGTCGTATGGTGGGGTCTTGAGACAGCAGGGTGTCTGCATGGAATTGCCGTGGCCCTGGACATCAGGGAAGTCTTTTGGGATAGCAGATGCAACCAGGAGCCAGAGCACAGTGGTAAGGAAGGGAGAAGGTTCAGCTTCGAGGCCAAGGGTAAGCTTGATGGGGCAGCAGGTGTGGGAACCAAGTTTGCCTTGGTCCTGAGGCTGCTGAACGTGGTCCTAGGAGGGGCTAGAGGTGGTGCAGGGAGCCAGCTGTGAGGCTTGCTGGGTTCTCAGATGGCGCTGACACTGACTGGCTTTAGGATGATCTTTCTGGTGCTGCATAGGGAACAGGGCAAGAGCCAAAGACCTGAGAACCAACTGCTTCTTGGGAGAGGAGAGGAAGAGCACGGCCCTCTGGCTGCCAGTGCAGGGGATGGTCAGGGAGAGGCTACTTGCTGAAGAAGTCTGGACCTTGGGTGAGGGACAGGAGGTGATGTCCAAAGGAAAGGCAGCAGGGACTCAGGTTGTGTGTGTTTGGCCTTGAGCCCCTGCAAAAATGGAGGTGAGGAGGGAGCCCGTGGCACTGAGAAGCCGTGCACTCTTGGTGGAGAGTGTAGAAGGGGAAAGAGCTCCTGTGCCGGAGGGGAGGGGCAGGCAGGAGTCTCCTGGTGGCTCTGTCTGCCCAGTTGAGTGGGGTGAGGACAGAGGCTGGGCCAGGTCCCTTGGGAACCGTGGGAGGGGTCAGCAGCATAGCTCTTCTGGAGCAGCAGGGAGGGAGCCAGTGTGAGGACGGGGAGGTGTGGTGCAGGCAGCTCTTGAACTGGGTGACAGCTTTTGGAAGGATGGTGGGGCCTTGGAGTGACTGTCACTGGAGAGGTGCTTGGGCTCCTTGGGAAAGTGTTGGCTCTCGGAGTGTGACTGGACCCAAGTGTTGAGCTCAGGCTGTTGGTGCTTCTGAGCAGGCAGTGCTTTCCTTCCAACTGGGTGCCTGAGGCTTGTCTGAATGGACGTGAGGACTGGTTTAGGTCCAGTGTGGGAGTCAGCCCTGCAGGGGGACCAGACCCTTGGCTCCTGTGAGGGCTGGTGCTCTTTCCCAGCAGCTATGTGAGGTCTCACACTTCCTTTCATTCTTTCTTCAGAAGACAGATGGAGCTCCTACTGCCTCTCATCACTAGCTGCCCAGAACATCTGCACAAGCAAGCTGCGCTGCCCTGTGGCGCCTGAGCTCGTGGATGCCGCTGGGTCCCTAGGCAGTGCGTCCTGCTGCTCCCTGCTGCGTGGCTTGTCTGCCGGGGGCACTGCACCCCCGTTCCCAGCCCCTGTGTGCAACCCTAACAAGGCTGTCTTCACTGTGGATGCCAAGACCACAGAGGTATTGGCTTTGGTTTGTGACCAGGCCATGGATGTGATTTGGGGTTTGTACCTGGAACCTTAAACGGTTTTTTGTGTTTCAAGTGCAATTAGGAAAACATTTGATTTTAGCTATGTTGTAGCAAAAGATGAGAAGTTGGAGAACTAAGTATAATCAACTAGAACAAATTGGATTCTCTTCTCAGGACAGATTCTGGGAAAGGCTCAGGTGCACTGTGTGTTTGTACATATTGGCACAACTATGGGAGAATGGGTAGTCGGTGTTCATGTTCAGTACAGTGGCACCATCTGTGTGAAATGCACCTATAGGAATTGCTAGCCTGGATCAGAGCTTGCTGGAAATGCCCATATTTTCTAGGGTCTTGATTGCCATGTGCTATTTTGCCTGGTTCAGGGGTCCTGGTTGCCCTCGGCACTGGCCAGGTTTTGTGTCTGTGAGGTTGAGCCCTCTGGGTGCCTGTGTGGGTGTTGTCTTCACCTCTGATGGGATGTGAATGATGATGATGGGCCCTGCTGGGGGAGGACAAGCCCCTGGGCTGCCATACCAGCTTTGTGTTGTCCACGACTCTGCTTCTGGGAATTAGAGGGGCTGCTGGTGATGTCTGTGTCTTCTCTCTGCTCCTCCTCAGATCCTGGTTGCTAATGACAAAGCTTGCAGTCTCCTGGGGTACAGCAGCCAGGACCTGATTGGACAAAAGCTGGCACAGTTCTTCCTGAAGTCGGACTCTGCTGTGGTGGAGGCCCTCAGCCAGGAGCATGTGGAGGCGGATGGCCACGCCGCCGTAGTGTTCAGCACAGTGGTGAGCGGGGTGCAGCACCCAGGCCTCGAGGCACGAGCAGCACGTGGCGGGAGAGCCCTGGTTTCCCTGCCTGGACTCTATCTTTCAGCTGCCTTCTGCCGTGAGGCCCTTGTAGCAGCGACTGTAGCATCTTCAACTGAAAACACGGCCCTGGGTTCTGTTTCCGTCTTTGGCTGGTTGGGCATGGGGACTCAGGACTAGCACCGGGTGACCTGGAGAGCCCCATCTTGGTGTGATGGGGGGTGCGGTGTGGCTGGCATATGGCAAACCTGCAGGCACCACGTGAGAATCCCAGAAGAGGGGTGTGATTTCATTGTCTGGACCAGTTCTTACATCTAATCCACGTATTCTGTTTGGTGTGTGTGTGGTTGGTGTGACTGGGAGAGCTTCCCTGGAGAGCTTTGGTCTCTCCTCTGTGCTTCTGGGGCCAATGTGGATGTTGATGGGTGAGCTGAGCTGTTAGATGCTGAGGACTGAGCCCCAGGCACAGAAGAGACTTGGAGAGGGTCAGCTGCAACAGGAGGTTCCTGGTTTAAGAGGCCTGCTGCTATAGAGGGAAATTGTAGGACTTAGCACATTGGTGTCTGCCGCTTTAAGAGATACCAGGTGTTGATCTTTTTTCCTGCTGTTTTACCATGGAGTTGAGTGTATTGGTCAGATTTTTCCAGAGGAATAGAACCCATAGGATGTATCTAATCATAATGGGCATTTATTAGGCTGCTTATATCATCTGAGACCAGAGAGTGGCACAGTGTCCTTCTGTAGGCCAGAGAGCTGGGAAACCAGTATGTGCTGAGCCCGAGAAGCTGGAGCCTGAGAACAAGATGGGCGTCCATGCTGCCCAATCAGATCTGATAATCCCAGAACCCCAGAGTTGTGGGTGCAAGTCTGTGTTAAAAGCTGAAGAACCTCCTGCAGTCTGACGTCCACAGACAATGGCAGCAAAACACATACCCACCCAAGAAGGACCGAGTGTGTGTGTGAGGGCCCTTCTCCAACCCCTTGGTTCCGTCCTCGCCCCAGTCTGCTAGGAGTGCATCTTCTCCACCAGAAACACCTCGTAGACGTGCCGCAGTGTGCTTTACCACTCTGCAGGTATCCCTTAATCTAGTCAATTAGACAAGATGAACCATGACCTAAGGATTAAAAAAAGAATCTTAGTAAAACATTGACTCAGACACCACAACCCTAAGTATCAGAAGCTTGTTCATCTGGACATGGTGGTGCACACTGGTAATCCCAGCGACTCAGGAGGCTGGGGACAGGAGGATCACAAGTTCCAGGCCAGCCTCAGCAATGCAGAGAAACCCTGTCTCAAAATGAAAAACAGGGCTAGGTGTGTGCTCAGTGGTAAAGTGTGCTTGGCCCCACCTCCACGCCCCCAAACAAACAAAACCCTTCGTTTACCCTTGGTGAGTTTCCCAGATGGAAGGTGGGCGTGGGAAGTCGGACACACTGAGGTGTGGGGTGTGGGAGGGTGGCTCCTGGTGGCAGCCCTCTCCCGTGCTTGCCGCCAGGGTCCCCAGTGCAGCCTGTCTGTGTATGCAGGTGGACATCGTCAGCCGCAGTGGGGAGAAGGTTCCGGTCTCTGTGTGGATGAAGAGAGTGCGGCAGGAGCGGGGCCTGTGCTGTGTGGTAGTCCTGGAGCCTGTGGAGAGGGTCTCCGCCTGGGTCGCCTTCCAGAGTGACGTGAGTGTGTCCATTCCTTGGCCCAGGACCCCAGTCCTGCCTTCTGCACGCACCTCAGCCAGTGCTCTCCATGGCTTGGCCGAGAAGAGCAGAGTAGGAAGGTGTCTGGGGGTCTGCCGGTGGCGCCCCTCACTGTGTGCCCTGGGGCAGGGAACTCAGTGCCCATGCCTCAGTTGTCCTCTCCGTGAGGTGGGGGGAGGGGCTGTACCTGCTCAGGAGATGGTGGCAGGCAGCACCTGGGTGTATTGTTATGAAAAAGAGCTTCTCCTGCGGCCAGGGCTTCCAGAGTGCGCGCAGCGCGTGAGGAAGTCAGAGGCCGAGGCTCGTCTGGCCCAGGAGGAGGTGTTCTTGAGAAAGCCCCTCTGGGTGCCTCTTGAACTTCTGCCCCACATGAGAAGGGTCTTACTTCTGGCTCACAGGCAGCTTCAAGCCCAGGTGCACAGGGCTCTTGTTGCCACCCTGACGGGTGCCGTGTTTCTCCAGGGAACCATCACGGCCTGTGACAGCCTCTTCGCTCATCTCCATGGGTTTGCCTCGGGGGAGGATGTGGTTGGACAGCATCTCACAGACCTCATTCCATCTGTGCAGCTCCCTCCTCCTGGCCAGCCTGTGCCAAAGGTAGGATGCTGACCACCTGGGCCACATGGTGGGTGTCAAGTTCTGAATCCGTAACCTGACCACAGGACCACAGGACAGCCTCCAGCTCTCTGTGCTCCCAGGTGTGGCCAAGGGCTGAAGCCTGTGTGTTCTCCCAGCTGACCGCTGTGGTCTCCTCCGTTCTCTGGTCAGTGTGGCACAGGGAGGGCAGCGTGCTCCCAGGGTATCAGTAGAGTTCTCCACCTGGACCAATGGGATGCACGTAGATAGAGACCAGAGGGGATTTATTAGGGACTTGCCTTTCGAGGTCACAAGGCCATATCCCACGACCCGCCATCTATAAGCTAGAGACTCTGGAATTGACCCGAGTGTGGACTTGTCACACTTTTGAAAGCCTGAGGACCTGGGAACACGAACGAGAGCAGTGCTTTGAAGTCCAAAGCCCCCCCAGCGTCTCGGCATCAGTGTGTGCACCTGCCCGGGTCCTGGGAGCCCCTGTACAGGACTAGAAGCCGTGCTGCTCAGCTCTGGGTGTTGCTTGTCCAGGCAAGTCCACACCTCAGGTGGCCCTCACTCCCTGGAGGCAGGACGGCTGTGTCCCACAGGGAGTGGGTGGTGGGGTCTGGGCATGGCGGAGTGCTCAGCCAATGTGCAACCCTTCCCCCGGGACTGGTCCCAAGGTCACTTCTGTCTTCCTCAGGTGGGGACTGAGTGCTCTGTTGGTCTTTCTGGCGAGACGAGAGTCATGGGGAGTGTTCCCTGGGTGTAGCTCTCTAGACTCAGCCCCTGAGCCTCTTTTGCTACATCAGATTCTCCAGCTTCTAGGAGGAGCCCTTGTCCCCACCTCCTGTGCTCAGAGCATTGGCCACGTGGGCTTCATGGCTGGCAGGGCTGTCCACTTGTCTACCCTGGGCACTGCCTGGCAGCACCTGCTCACAGCCCTCTCCTCCAGAGACACACCCTGGTAATGCATGGCAGAAAGCACAAGTGAGTGTGTTCTCAGCCCCAGGTGGGCTACCATGTCCCTCAGGAGTAGACAGGGACATGCTGGGAGCCAACACAGAGGGACCTGTACCCTTGTTCCTCGCAGGGCTCACTGGGGCCTGGGCCTGCCTCTGGCTTGGGTCAGGGCACTGTGCTGCCTGTCTGCGGCCTGGCAGCTACAGGTTTCCAGTCTTGAAGGGTGGGCGCTTAAACAGGGTGGGGGCCAAGGCTTGGGTCTACCTTACCACCCCGAAGCCCCTGAAGACTCTGAAGTGTTTGGCTGGGAACACTGTGTTAGTCAAGAGACAGGACTCTCTGGGCATGGTGATCCCAGCGACTCGGGAGGCAGAAGCAGGAGGCAAGTTGGAGGCCAGCCTCAGCAACTTAGTGAGAACCTGTCTCCAAAGAAAAAATCATTATAAAGGTCTGGAATGTAGCTCAGTGGTAAAGTGCTCTTTGGTTCACTCTCTAGTGGCCTCTGAAGTGTCTGGTGGGGAGTCCTAGTAGGGACGTGGTGGGACAGTGACGTGCAGGAGGAGTGTGGTACGTGCACTTGGTGGTGTGGCAGAGGGAGGAGCCGAGAAGGCCATGGGGAGTCAGTGACAGCAGGAAGCGGGGGCCCCCAGTCCAAGTGGACTCAGCTCTTCCTCCACACAGACCTGAGGGCAGTGCCCAGAGTGCGGGTGGCACAGCTGCCCGCCCTGGACAGCCGGAGCCCTGGTCCCTCATTGCCCATGTCTTGGTTAGCTCACTAGGCTTTTCTCGAATGCCCTGGCATGTGCTATACCCAGGCCACTCTTGAGTCCTGGCTGTCCCCTGCTGTCATTCCCCAGGCAGGGTGGGGCAGAGGGACAGCAGGTGTGGGTGTGAGGTGCGCCTGTGCTTCCTGAGGGGGTCTCACGGCAGAGGATGCCTGCTCAGCCCCCCAGCCCAGCTGCCCTGCTGAGCCTGGCACCTCTCTCGTAGAGTCTGCAGATCCAGAGGTCTGTTGGCAGAGCCAGGGACGGCACCACCTTCCCTCTGAGCCTAAAGCTGAAGGCCAAGCTCAGTGACCAGGAGGTGGCCAGCAGCAAGGAGGCCCCCGAGCTGGACTACTGGGCATCAGTCTGGGTGTTCTGCACCATCAGTGGGCTTGTGACCCTTCTGCCAGATGGCACCATCTACGGCATCAACCACAGCTTTGCGCTGACGCTGTTTGGTTATGGACGGACAGAGCTCCTGGGCAAGGTGGGCTTGTCCGGGCTGCGGGCTTTCCACCCACTTGGGAGGCTGGCCCTTGTGTATGGGGGTGGTGGCCCACAGATTGACCCAGGAAGCACCGCAGGCCCTGGCGGGGAGCCTGGCTGTCAGCCACCTGGTCGCCCGGGGGAGGGAGAGGAGACTGTTCCCAGTGAGATCTGGTCTGGCTGATTGGACCAGGGTTGGGTCACAATTGCAGTGGCTTCAGACTGGTTAATGTCTGGAATTTGACCCCAGTGTCTTTCCTGATCTTAGGAGGAACTGTCCAGAGACTTGCTCCGTTTGTTTAATTTTTTTGCCAGTTGTTTTCTTTTTTCTTTTTTTTTAAAGAGAGAGTGAGAGAGAGGGGGGCACAGAGAGAGATAGAGAATTTTAACATTTATTTATTTTTTCTTAGTTCTCGGCGGACACAACATCTTTGTTGGTATGTGGTGCTGCTGAGGATCGAACCCGGGCCGCACGCATGCTAGGCGAGCGCGCTACCGCTTGAGCCACATCCCCAGCCCCCTGCCAGTTGTTTTCATTTCAGCCCCAGAAGGATGTGTCCAGGAGGGGGCATAATGGGTCCCCCAGGTCTTGAACTGTCACTTTTTGCCTCCCAGAATATCACTTTCCTGATTCCTGGTTTCTACCACTACATGGACCTTGCCTGTGACAGTTCCTCACAGCTACCAGACCTGGCCGACTGCCTGGACATCCACAGTGAGAGCAGGCCTGGGCAGATGAGCTGGGACCCAGGCAGTGGAGCCCAGGGTGAGACATGGCCTTCCTGTCCCCAGTGTGCCCCTGGTGGCCCAGCCCCACCAAGGCCCATGCCTCCTACCAAGGCAGCCGCTTCCACGGGCTGAGGGTCGTGGCTGGGGACTGAGTGAGGGGCACCAGTCCTGTTTCAGTGTTTGTGTCTCTCTCAGGCCTTCCGTTCGCCAGGGGTAGAGCAAGGTGTGGGGGCTATTCCTACAAATGTATTGGCAGCGAGAAGCTGCAGGAGAGGTCTTCAAGAAGCCATGAGTCGTGCCCTCTCCTGGGAGGGGATTCGTGTAGGTCCATGTAGCCCGAGATGGAGTTGATGAGCTGTCCTGTTTATTCCTAAGTCAGATATTGCTAGCACGTTTGTGGATTTTGTGATGTTTACCCCTTTGGTTTTTACTTGGCCCTTTAAACATGTCAACAGTGTTCCTGAGCCCTGTGTGTGGACAGTCTCAGCTGCTGGTCTCTGGGGAGGAGCTCCCAGCCTCCTGTGCCTAGCAGCCTGCTCTGGCTCAGGATACTGGCAGGGTGTGGGGCCTGTGACAGGGGCACTGGCACCCTTGGTCACGCTCTGCCCTCGACCCCTCAGGTGTGGTTCTGGAGTCCCTGGGCCCTGATGGGGTTTGAGGATCCAGGTGACATCGTGTGGGGGTGCTGGGCGGGGTCTCTGCTCTCTAGTGGGAAGCAGCAGTGGGGACAGGAGGCGAGTGTCAGGTACGAGCAGGGTGCGTTGTGCGCATCGTGCTGGGCCGTCGCCCTGGTGGGTGGTGCTCTCCTGGGACGCCGGGTGCCAGCAGCTCAGGCAGCCAGCGCTGTGAGTAGGGTGCAAGCCTTCCCGATTCTGCTCTCAGATCTGAAGGTGAACGTGGTACGTGCCAGTGACCACCTGCTGCCACAAGATGAGACCCTGAAGCTGGCAAGAAGTCAAGGCATCGCCCCTGCTCAGACACGGCAGGAAGTAGGAGCCTGGCTCCCTTCCTCCTCCTCGGAGCCCTCCCCAGGGTGAGTGCTGGTGGGAAGTGGAGGCTGGTGGAGGAGCTGCTCTCGGGGGGGGGGTGCAGTTCGGTGATGCACCTGGCTCCCACAAACCCAGCACCTGCCCTGTCTGAATGGTGACATGTTCCTCCCAGGTGGCCCACTGAGGGTTCTGCCCTGGGACAGGGTGCCCACAATGCCACCTCATCCCGTGGCTGTCGGAGGTCAGGGGCATTTAGGTAGACTCATGAGGGCTGAGGCTGGCCTGGCCTGAGCATTGTGGAAATCGTATGAAGCTGTTTTCTTTGCATGTTTTTAAATAAAGTATCCTACATGGAGTGAAGGACGTTTATGTTAGATGACTTGGGAAAACAGGAACAAAAGCTCACTGATTCTGTTTCTCAGTCCTATTGTGCTCAGTATTTTGGTGTTTTTAGCTAGTTTTCTTCATTAAAAATACATATACCTATTATTGAATATAACATATATTATAATATGTATATGTAAAATGCATATATGTATGTGTGTGTGTGTGTGTATGTGTGTATATATATAAGTAAAATGAAGCTGGGGTATTCTAGCTGTGGGCTACATTCCTAATTTTTTAAATTTATTTTTATCTTGATGGCCTTGTTAAGTTGTCCAGACTGTCCTCATACTAGGGGTCCTCGTCCTGCCTAGTTGCCAGGTGGCTGGGATTTAGGGTATGTGTCACATGTCCGGCTTAAAATCCTATTTTACACACAGTGTTCAGGAGCATGCCTGAGCCTCAGGTGTGCACATGGAGAGCAGATCCATGGTCTTTTCTGCCCCCGGATCTCCTGCTCTGCACCCTTACCACCATGCGTTGGAGCATACGTCAGAGTTCCTGTCCTTGGGCCTGAGCTGTCCCCTTTGTCCTTGGGCCTGCCTTCTTTAGTTTGTTGTTGTGGCTCTGAGATGGATCCACACCACTGTGTCTTCCCAGGCTTCCTGGACTCGTTTTAAAGGAGTACATGAGTGTGTTTCAAGTACAGAGCAGCAGTGACAGGTGGATGCGAGTCAGCATGGATGTGTGTCGTGTGTGTGTGTGTGTGTGTATGTGTGTGGTGTGTATCCTTGTGCCTTGCTTTTGTCTAACAGGACAGGATTGCTGCATGTTGTCCTGGCTGGTGTGCTTATGCCTGCTGACCTCTTCCCAGGCAGCACCTCTTCCCAGCAAGACCCCCAACAGCACCTGTTGTTCCTTCCTTGCTGTTTGGTGTCAGGGTGTTCCTTTGATTTGTCTCCCTGGCTCCCTCCTGGCTCAGGTTTGCTTTGGGTGGCATGAGAAGGGTACCCAATGGCTCTTCTTTCTCTGTGCTCCTCTGCAGATGAGGGAGCTGGGAGCTGGCATGAGTGGCTGATGCTTGTCAAGTGCCCCGGCCTGGCTGGGCTGCTTACTCATGCCAGCTGCCAGGAACCGGGTGTCCAGTGGGGTCCCTCGCCAGCCGCTCTCCTCAGGATCAGGGCAGAGGGCCTCTTCTAGGCTCGTGTTGTTCAATGAGGAAGCTGCCCTGCATTGGCTAAGTCTTACATTTTCTTTTAGGTGGGACAGTTTTAGATCCTAGGGGTTTGCGTAGTTATCGTTGGTGGTGCTGAGGATGGAACCATGCCTTGCTCACACAAGGCCAAGGTTCTGCCGCGGAGCTGCTCCCAGCCCAGGTTCTGCAGCTCGGCTGGCACCCATCCCACCTGCAGCATGGAGTAGTGCGTCACATGCCCTTCAGTCTCCCACTCACTTGTTCAACAGATAACGGGCGGAGAGTCGAGGCTTCTCTGTGACATTGTGGTCTAATTAGGAATGCAAGGTGCTGCGTCACGAAGTCCAAGAGGGAAGTGCAGAAGGAGGAGGGGGCACATGTTCTGGGGTTCTGTAGGGCTTCCTCCGCTGCCGCCTCTGGCCCCGGCACTCACGTTCAGGCTCAGCTGTTCTAGTGAATTGATGCTCATGCTGAGTGGGTTCTTCTGAGAGGCAGAGGCTCAAAAGGACTCCACATGAAGTGACATTGGTTCAGGGGTCTCCACGGTGGCAGGTCTTGGTGTCCCTGCTTCGGGGCCTATGATCCCTGGGGTGACCTGGGTGCAGGTCCCAGCAGCTCCTGACGCTGTGTGGACTCTGGGAGGTGGGAGTGGAGGTGCCCTACTCCCCGATGTCACGTGGCAGCCACACCCCTTGCTCCCGTGCTGAGTAGAGGGCAGAGTGCGGTCTCCAGGGGAGCTGGGGAAGGCCATTCTGTGGTCATGCTAACACGTAGAGACTCTGCAGGCTCACAGCCTTAACCCACATCTTGAAATCTAAAAAGTCCCCAACATGGAAATTTTTCCCTAAATTTGATGCTGGAGCATGTTTGATGATTAGACCCACCCTGAGCTGCTGGGCAGCCATTGGTGTTTTCCTGCTACCCCACAGTGGGGTAGGTAGAGGCCTCATGCTGTGTTTTCCTGTGGAGTTCCTTCAAGTGACTGATGATCTTTCTGAAGTCCAAGAGCACATCTGGCCCAGGGATTTAAGATGGGAGGGCTGTGGATGGGGTGATCTAAGAGAGGAAAATGGACACTGGGGGCCACCAGTGGTTAGCACCTCAGAGATCCTCAGGGGGTGAGTCAAAGTACAGAGCTGCCCTGAGGTCAAGGCCGCATGTCCTGACCATGGAACACCACATCCAGAGGCTGCCCAGATTCCTGGGTGTGGACCCCCCTCTGCTGGCCCTGGAGAAGGATGCATGGTCCCCTGAGCCACATGAGGCTCATCTCTGAGCATGCAGTGTCACTTGGACTTCGTGACGCAGCAGCTGGCATTCCTCCAGAGAGGGTGGGAGTGGGGATGGGTGGATACCTCTGCAGACACCCCCCACTCCCACAGGTCAGCTCTGCTTCTCAGACCCCTGCTTACAGTGCCTTCCTCTGCAGTACTGTCCTTGTGCTGGCCCTGGCCTCTCTCAGTGGGAATCACTGCTGCATTCTTGCTGGGTGGCAGGTGTGAATCGCCTCTGTGCCCTGTAGGACGTGCACTTGTTTGGCATACCTGCTGCTCAGCGTCAGTCCTGGCTGGTGTGGCCAGGCACAGGGTACAGTTTGTGGTGTGGGCCTATGCCCTGGGGGCACTATGTCAACTGTCGCAGCTTCTTCCCTGCTCACCACTTGCTGGAGGCACTTGGGGGAGTTTCTGTTTGTCCTCACCCCCACCTGCTCCCTTCAGCCTGTTGGCTGGCCTCCCATCTCCCCACGTGACTGTGAGGGTGGTGGCCAACCTAGCCAGTCAGGCCCCTCACTTCAGGCCTCAGGGGAGCTGCTGGGGTAGTGTGCCTTCAGTGTGGCAGAGTGAGCTGCACACTGGCAGCAGGCTGAGCTGAGCACTGGGCCTGGGTCTCTGCACTGTGGCAGTCTCAGTACCATCTTTGATAAAGCCTTGCTAAATGAGGATTTGTCTGACAATATTGGAGAGTAGGTGCTTTATGTATTGACTTGGTTGCAAAATTTAGTCTCTTTTGTTGTAAATTTTATGGTGTTAAATGCTTTGTGTTTTAACAGAATGGTTCCTCCTGTCTCCTTTTCTGTGACTGCTAATGACTGACATCTGAATTCCTATTTCCAGGGTAGACAGTGTCCCTGAGGGAAGCCCGCCCGCCCACGGAGAACAGTCATCATCCACGGACCAGCAAAGTGTCCCTGAGGGAAGCCCTCCAGCCCACAGGGAACAGTTGTCACCCAGGGACCAGCAAAGTGTCTCTGAGGGAAGCCCTCCAACCCACAGGGAACAGTTGTCACCCAGGGACCAGCAAAGTGTCCCTGAGGGAAGCCCTCCAGCTCACAGGGAACAGTTGTCACCTATGGACCAGCAAAGTGTCCCTGAGGGAAGCCCTCCAGCTCACAGGGAACAGTTGTCACCCAGGGACCAGCAAAGTGTCCCTGAAGGAAGCCCTCCAGCTCACAGGGAACATTTGTCACCCATGGACCAGCAAAGTGTCCCCGAGGAAAATCCTTCAGCCTATGGGGAACAGTTGTCACCTATGGACCAGCAAAGTGTCACTGAGGGAAGCCCGCCAGCCCATGGGGAACACTTGTCATCTATGGACCAGCAAAGTGTCACTGAGGGAAGCCCGCCAGCCCATGGGGAACAGTCGTCACCTATGGACCAGCAAAGTGTCACT